GAAACTGCTCTAAGGTCTCCCCAGAACCTTCTCTTCCCCAGGCTGAACAAGCCCAGCTCTCTCAGCCTGTCTCCATAGCAGAGGTGCTCCAGCCCTCTGATTTGTATGTCTTGTATGTGCTGTCAGTTATTTTGCTCTCAGACAGATCCTGTCTTTCCAGCTATATCGGACATGCACTTGGCATGAGGGAGCTGAGAGGCCACGTATTCCCTGGAATAGAAATCATCTAGGTGAGGCTGCAGGTAGCAAAGCAGTGTTGCTCCTAGTGCTGGGAGCATGTGGAAAAGGCCATGGGCTAGATGTTCTCCACTGCCTGGGGCCATGCTGCAGCTGTTCTTTTGCTTGGTGATCTCAGAATTAGAGCTCTTGTGAATAAATGTATTTCTTGGTTTGAGAGTCAGCCAAGCATGACACTGAGAGAGCTGTGTTTGGAAGTATTAAACACACATTTTAAGCCTATGCCACCTTTCAAGGAGAACTCTGTACTAGAGAGCTGAATGGATACTGTGGCACACTCACAGTCCAAATAGGGGTGCTGGATCTCAGTGGGCTGGGGCCGTCCCAGTAACTGTACTGCTGCATTTAGGCTTTGACCTTATTTCCAAACTATTTTGAGTTGTGTTACATGCTTTCTTTGAAAGTCAGGGTTCCCAAGCTACTATAAAGAGTTAATAATAGTTAGGGATCACTTCTTAGAAGATGATGCTAGAAACTAGGACTGTAGTGCTTAATCCTACAACAGCTTATTTTTGATTCAGTTTATTCTGTGCTCAGTGTTTCAGGAATCTTGGCATGCTCTTTGGGAGGTCAGAGAAGGACAGAAAAGGAGAACAGAACAAATTTATTGTTTGATATTTTTCAAAGTAATCTCTTTCCCAAACTACATTAGGAAATGTAATCAGTTTGCTTCTGCTATAAAAAAACCTAATTTCTGAATAGCCTTTAATTGGTAGATGCATTATGGGAATAATGTTCTTACATGAAACAGTTATGTAAGGACACATTATTAACCTACTGATTAAGCTCATGAAAGCTTCTTTTGAGCTATTTAATCTGTATGAATACCTTATAAAAATTTTCACCCCCAGGACAGGTACTTTTATTCACCAAAACTTTGAACTTCCAATTTTCATGTCGAGCTGGTTACAATGGGACCCTAAGAAGTGAGAAGCCAGGAGATCCATAGATCCAAGTCCCTTTTCCTATTCGCATGAGATTCTCATTACAGAATACATGCAAATAATTTCAGCCTGAAATCTGTCTCACTTTTAAAACTGTTGCAGCCTGTGTGGGAAGTAACTTTGGATGGTAACTGGCTACAAGTTTAGATAAAGTAATGCAAACAAAGTCTTTGAGAAGGGCAGCTATGGGGGACTGGCTTTGTGCTGTGCCTGCCAGTGTTGCTGCTGCTCTGCGTTGTCAGTGCTGTGCGATACAGTGATGGTTTTGAGTGATGAAGTGTTCTAGAAACCAAAGTCTTTCCTGCTAACATTTATGTTAATTTGGTCTCAGTTTAGTCACAGGGAAAAATGAATGTGTACCAAACAGCAGATGACAGTATGTGCAGGGAAAACCAAATTTAATTCTGAGTTGCTAAGAAAGTACCATAAATATCAGAAAATAAACTGTTTAAACTGAAGAATTATTTTAGAGGTCGTTGAAATCATCTGCAGATGGGTGTCCTCTGCTGCTCTTTCAGGCCAGAGCAAACAGGCTTTAAAATAAATTCCTGAATCATGTTTTTCAAGGTCTGTGCTTTGATAACATCTGCAGTAATATAAATGCCTTAGCGTATACTTCCCATGAATGCAAAGTCTGAATTACAGTTGCTGGCTGACTGAACAGGCTAATGATAATCGTTATATTGACAACAAACAGCACTGCTTGGGCTTGTGTGTACAGTGCAAGGTACCATGATTTATGGCAGGTCACTGGGTAGTGCTGTGATAAAATTTTAAATACTTACTTGAAATGTAAGTGTAGTGCTCTGGGAATATGGTGTTGAGTTGGTATGAAACCTGGTAAGATTGTTTTATTAGTAATTAGCCAAAATGATAGGAACATTGTCACAAGCTGTTAACTTTTCATCCCTGTGTAAAATGCTGATCAATAGACCTTCCATTCAGTTTTTTTTTAACAGTATTTTCTGTGAAGAAAGCAAATTATTTTGGTGTTAATCAGGGAATAAACCTTCAGAAAGATTTATTTGGTTCGTGGCCTAAGTGCAAAGTCATATTTATTGCCACTCTCATAGCCAGGGTTCACTGGCAGTGCTGGTACTTCACACCCCTGACCAGGGAAGCAGTTTATATATGGAACTGTCAATCTCACATTCACTCGTAAGGGTCCTCCCAGTTTTATATATGGAACTGTCAATCTCACATTCACTTGTAAGGGCCCTCCCAGTTTTCTTCATTGTATCTCCGCTTTGGTGCATATAAACAGTCGCCTGCTATTTCAGAAATGCTTCCATGAAACTATCCCTGCGTTTCTTGGAATGCTGGGTGCTGAGCCCCTTGGCAGTGTGCTCCCTTTGCCTCTGCTGCTGTTTCTCCACGGCAATGACTTTGGAGGCAACAGCTCTACAGCATCTCACAGGAGGTGACCCTGTGGTTAAAGTTGCTTCAGGCAAAGCAATCTAAGGATGTGATTTGTGATAATCTGACATAACAGAAAACTTTTCATTACCTGTTGGCTTTTCAAGCATCTCCTCTCCTGATTCCTGTACCTGTGATTTCTTTTTATTGTTAGTCTGCTTATGGACATGAGCAAGGTCAGGCACCAACTTTAAGAGCACAAATGCACAGTAAAAGTCCTTTCACAAAAGGCTTATGCTCTCACTAGACAAAGCAAATGCAGGTTCAGAGGGAAAAAAAAGATTTTTTTCTTCCATTTTATACCAGAAGAATGGAGGCAAAGAGACTTGCTCACAGTCAGCAGTCTGGGAGAAAGCATAGAATCGAGCAAGATTGCTGAGATCCAAAACCCACAGAGGTCCATTTCTTAAAGGGGTGTTGAGATGTGGAGATCTTGTAGCAGTTATTTTGGAGGAGAAAACAGTGACAAACACTGGTTTCTTTTTTCGTCCTCACTCAAATTGAGAGTCTCCAGCTTTTAGGAAAATGTTCTTGCTGTTAAAATGAAAACGTGGAGTGTGAAGGAGTGGAGGTGTCAGTTAAAGGTGACTTCGGTTTCTTTGCTGGGTGAGGAGAGCTGTCATGCTGGAGCAGAGGATGCTTTGCTGCACTTTACTTCCAAGCAAAGGCAGGATACCGGGATGGGCTGAACCACCATCACACCCAGCAGCATGCCAGAAACCCCACAGAAGGGAAGTTGAACTATTCTCTGTGTGGTGCGTGGGCAAAGTGGTTCTTGGCAGAGGTAGAAATATATCTCCTGTGCTGGCCAAGGCCTTGCCCAAGGTCTGGTTCATGAGCCTGTGGGAATTTCAGGGCTGCACAGAGTTTTGTGTCTGTACTCCCTTGCCTTCTTTCGTTACTCTTACACCTCTTGAATGCTGCAGAGTATTTCTACAAGCCTAAAGCTTGGCAGGGTCCCTCTCTGGCAGGCAGGAAAAGATGCAACATGAGGGAGTAAGTACTTTAGGCTTTGGGTACAAAAATGCAAGAAGTAGGTATGTTACTAGAGGGTTTCCTGTCAGAGCAGCCCTGCTGTAGTTTAATCTTTCTACAGACTGTTTCAGCATCAGATGTTGGATGTTTGCCTGGATTGTAATTTTTTCTGGATAGAAAAAAAATTCAGTCCTCTGGTTTTGAAAACCCGCAATAGGTATGTTACAATTTTCTGACTTCTGATTTAAATAGTGAAAAAAATAGGATGCTGTTTTATTTTTTTGCTATACATAATTTGTTTTCAAAATGAGAGTTAAATTTTGTACACTAGATACAGTGCGGCATCTGGCTGTGCATAAGGCTACATTCACAGGGGGTGAAAACAGTGCAGAACTGCCTTCTTGCTTCGTAGTCCACAAGATGTCAGTGATAATTGAATTTAACTCTCATTGAGTTGACAAGAAGGTAGAACTGGACTGAGAAATTTAAAAGTATGACTTAAAGTAGAAGGTTTGCAACTTTCCTTTGCTATTTACAATTAAACAGTTCATTGTTAAACAGGAAAGCTAATTCACAGAACATAACAACAGTCCTCTGGGTTAGACCATTTTTATTGTGACGATATCTGTCCTTGCCTGCAGCCTACAGCAGATGATTTAGGAAGACTATGAGGACAAGGAAAGCTCTGCAGTTCTTATGAAAGAGAACCTCCAGGATATATTTTAGGACCTTTAATTACCTGCAACTGATTTAAATCTTTAAACCTGGAGCAACACGTTTCACATTGTTTGTGAACTGCATAATAACAGCCTCAAAACAGGTCCCAGACAGTTGTCTTTAACTGTGGATACTTCTCTGTTTCTTCTAACTGGTGTTTATGCTTGCCAAAATGGAGATCTGAGAAGCCTCCATGGATGGATGCGAAATGGATATAGCCATACTTGTTTCATAGCTTTTGCTTTAGAAGGCCTGATCTTGAAGTCTGAGGGTTCAAAGATTCTGCAGTGACAGTCCAAAGAGGTGTTTGCATTTTCCTAAAGTAAAGCACTGAAACAAATCCATAAAAGCCTTCCTGATGTTAAGACAGGTAAGGACAGCGGAACAGTGTTGGTGCAAACAGTTTCTCAGAGGGAGTCTAAATCTGTATATTAGTCACATACTGAAAGAGAGAAAAAACATGTTTTTTTTTAATCTTTGTAATGACACAGTTCCATACTTTAAATTGAAATGAGCTAAGCACTGGTCCTCAATTCATTTCAACCTGTTACTTCTGAATGTCTGATTTAGAATTTCTCTAATGAGACATGAGTGTGCTGTGAAATTGGTACTGTGAATCAGTATCCTGCCTTTGTCTGGAGCAAGTTTCTTGCTCCAATATTGCTGAAGTAGAGTATGAAAAGAACACAACCTGCTCTTTCTTTTCTTTAGGAAAGATGGTTTGTCAGTGAAGAAAACATTGATGGATTTCTAGGCACTGTTTCATGCCCTTCCTTTTGCTTCCAATCAGCACCAGAAAGCCAGCCATTAATTGAAGTGCTTGATGTTACGGAGGACAGAATTCAAATCAGGTTGACGGTAAGGATCTTTCCAGCAGTAGTACATATTGCTCACTCACTGATTTATGTACTTCAGCAAGATGATCTGAAGTCTGGCCAAAGCAGCTTTGCTCCTGTTTTGTCTTGATACAGCAGGGAAGACCGTAGAGTGGGGTGTATTTGCAAGTATAAAATGCCAGCTTTTAGAAGCATAGGTTCACATTTGTGCCATTTAATGTGACCAAGGGATTGAAATTTCTTGTATTTCATTTGGAAGATGGAGAACTGTGATACAGTTGCTAAAGACAGTGCTTTCTCCTTGCAGGAATACAGCATGGCATGCACACACTAGATCTCTCATTGCTATTAAAAGAAAAAAAAAAATTACTAAGTACCTAGTATCCCTCATTCAGAGGGGCCCCAGGTGCTTCCAGGTCAGAGCTGATGACAGCATGCTGCAAACAAATCATGGCAGATGTCATCAGAATAAAAGCCATAATGTTCTTAAAATGGAAATGAAGAAGTGAATAATCCACATCCTTCAAGTACCCAAGAGTTTGAGCACATGTACTGGAGCCCATGGTTAGAGCATCCCACCTGAGTGTCTGGTAATCAGAAATGAACATACCCAGAGGGACTTGGTGTCAGGAAGGAGTGGAGAAGCAGAGAATCTGGCTGCTGGGAGTGTGAAACAGAATGGCTGTACAGAGGGTACTCAGTCACAGCCACTGCTTCACTCTGCCTTGTCACACAGGTAGGGAAAACATTGAGGATTTTGTCTGAGAAGAACTGTGTTTTGTTATCTTTATTTGGTCCAACAGTTTGGTGGTTTCCTGTAGTGTAGATAACTAAATATGTTAATCATTGGTCTCAAATTCGCTACTTGTAATGTTTAAGGTCTCATTCAGGCTACCCTTCTTCCTCAATCACCCTGTCTGGGTAAAGGCTGCAAGGCAGTCTGCTTCTGAAGTCTGTCACAGGATTAAAATTATGTCCCTTTGCAATACAGGAGATGGACAGATGAAGAAAATAAAACATTAGTTTTTGTAAGGAGGTAAAACCCCCAAATCAGGTAGGATTTCTTGATAGATACTGCATCAGAAGTAAATTTAAAACTCTTCTTAAAGGTAATATGCAGGGACAATCAGATCACTACTGTGTCGATAAACTGGAGACTGCAGATACAGTTAATGTGTAGATGGCTTCTTGGAAAGCAAGTTAAGATGACAAATGTTACCTGTGGAACTGAGCTGGAGGACCAAGGAATTTACCCTAAAGATACTGGGTCCAGCTTACATTAGCTAGTGTGGACTGTACATTAAAAGTTCAAATTGTTGGAGGGCAGATGTGTTATGTTTTGGCACCTAAGAAAGGGAAGCTAAGTTACCATAAATCATCACATCTTCCTGTGGGAGAATCATCCACTGATGAGAATGACTTACCTAGTGTTTCTTTCTCTTCTTGCTAGAGTGGGGTCAGAAAGGGTTGGGTGTGTGAGAAAGTGACTCAGTCTTTGAATCCATGAATCCAGCTGCTCCTGGACAGATTCCTGGCTGATCCTGCCTGTCCATGGATGGGGACGTACAAGTTACCAACTTTTTTTTTTTTTTTTGATAAAGCAGTCAGTACCTAAAGGTGAAATTGGCTGTTCCTTAGACAGCACCAGGTCTCACAGTTCATACTCTCCTGAGGCAAACCGCAGCAATTCCTGGATTAACTTGCTTAGGCCAATTGAGAAAGACTTTCTAGTTACACCTTTTACGTGCGACGTGACAACTTCCCTAATTGCAAGGTTAGAGCCCATTTCTTGCAATGAGAGTTTAGATTCCTTGGCTGATTTTCTGGCTCCTGAGCTGTTGAAAACAGCCTGGGTGTGGTGACTGGCTAGTCTTCCCCGCTGCTAATTGCAATGGAGGCTGTGGTCACTTGGCAGCTGCCCAGCAGCATTTCCTATTGCAGAGGAAACACTTGGGAGGCAACCAACCTCCTTGCCACTTGTTCCCATGAGCGGTACAGGATCAGGAAAACCTCAGCACTGTCCTGACTTGGCTTTCTGGAAGTAGATGTTGGAGAAACAAGTGTCTTAGCCTGTCTTTACAGCAATTTTGTGTGCCCAGTCTGTTTCAACTATAAACCAATTCATTTGTTTTCTTGACAGCCGCAGGAAACAGTCCATTCTGAATGTGATGGAAAAGAAGAAATGCATAGCAGCTCAGGAGGAGAGCTTGATGAAAAGACAAATGGCGACTACCCCCAAACAAAGGCAGAAACAAACTGTACTGCCGCTGACACAGTTGAGGGAGAACGTGCTGCAGAAACTAACAAAATTTCCACATCTTTTGCTGAAACAATAGGAAAAGTAGGTTGTAGTTCACACCATTGTTTGCAGCATGAACCTTCTGACACCAGTTCAGCGATTCCTGGCGAATCTAGGAGAAAGCAACCAGATTTAGAAAGTGCTGCCATTGCAGATGAAAGGGCTGTGGCTGCAAGCTCTGAAAAACAAGCAGGCCTTCTGCGGGAGGAGCAGGCGGGAGGCGAAGGGGATGAAGTGGCTACTCCTGCAGGGTCAGCGCAGGGGGACCAGCACAGCTCGGACAGCAGAGCAGTCTCCCCGCTTCTGCGAGAAGTGAGCACGCAGGATGGGAGTGTGCAGATCATCAGGGATCACGTAACGCACTGCCCGGTCACCTTCCAGAATTCTTTGCTGTATGAATTAGACTAGTTGAATTATTTTAGGATTTCCTTCTGTTGTTCACTGCTTTACTGTGACTTCCACAGGTTGGTTTATGACTTCAGGACCAAGAGTAGAACATGGGTTCCTACTCAAACTGTTTTGTTTACATGTTGACAGGGAATACCTGTATTGTTAATAATTTGTGAAGTTAGTAGGTCTGAGTTTTCTTATGTATGGGCTGAAATAGTTTTACTTAACCAGAAGGGTGCAGTTGAAGATGAATATGAGCTTGGGGAAGAAAAATGCATCTTAATGTTTACATACCTTTCTTAGTCTCTTGCTGCATTACAGGGAGCATTTGTATATATTCTCCTTTTAACGGCTCCCTCAGGATTTGCTGTGTTTAATCCACACAGAAATGAGCAGTAGTCATAATTTTTCAAACCTTTTTGTGATAACTGCAGGATTAGATTTGCAGTGATTTGTAGCAAGGAGCTGAAATTTCTAATTACACAGAGAAGTTCTAACTAGTCTCTGAGAAATAACCAGCATTTATAGTGTATTCCATCCTAGTGTGTTACTTTAGATCCACAGCACCTACTCCAGTCTGTCAAGCTAGCAAATTCAGCTGCACAGTAAAAGCAGCCTTTTTTGTTGTACATCTGCTACAAAATATTTACAATTTGTAAAAGGCATTTTTATCCCGATTACTTTTTAAAAACAGTTCCCCAAGAGCTTCAGCATGCTGTTTGCTGATTCACCTCTCTGAAGAAAGGAACAGATCTAGTAATAAACTTTCAGTTCCCTTTCTCACTACCTCTGAAATAACTTCTGTGTTCTTTTGAGTTGTAGAGGACACAAACATGCTTTAGAAGAAAGTTCAATTTGACTTGTTTCACAGCTGCTCTGGAGTTCACCCTTACATTTCTCTGTTAGATGCGAGTGCTTGCAGTGGGGGTATATGGTATAAGCTTTACTCTCCTAAGCTTGGCAGAGACCACAGCTGCCAGAAGCCTCTGCCCTACCCTGGGCAGCAGCATGGCTCCTGCGCAGCTGAAGGAGGACAAGTGGTTTGCTGGGCTAAGCTTAGCCCGGATCAGCCCTGTCATGAGGTTCCTTTTGGGGGTCGTCGAGGGCCTGAGGCACAGCCACAGCTTTTCTGGCATCAGCCCTGACTCTCTGAAGCTATGAAAAAGGGGCAAGTGCCAAAGCTGGTACAAAATCATGGTACTTAAATTACTCTTGCAAAAAAAGAGCATCTTATCGTGGTCAAAATAAATACCTGCACACTACTTGGAGTACTTCAGGTAACTTGGCTCTCTCTCAATTGGACATATAAGGGATGTATTCACAGCCCATATAGTAGGTGATAAATGGTGGTAAAAGGAAATCGTTGCTACACATCCTTCCATTTGTAAGTGGCCATTGTAGCCAGAGTCCAAACAGCAACAACCCCATTTTCTCTAATGAAAAGAAATGCTTTTATTTCTCCCTCCCAATCTCTCAGTACAAACCCCTACCTCTGCATATTGCATGTCTGTCACCTTAGCATAGTGTTTTCTTTCTCTAAGATACTTTGTTCTACAGAAAAGGTGCTACTGTTACCAGTTGCATGTCAAAGCAGCATGTCATGAAAGCAGTTGCATCATTAGACTTAAACAGGTGAGGAAGTGTTCAGGGTTAGTGGCAGCTCAGCTCAAGCCTGTTCCTTACTGGCAGCTCTGGTTCAGACCATTCCCATTATACAACAGTTATTTTTTTACCGGTCGCTGACTGAAAGCAAACTTTCTTTTCAGCCAAACAAAAGAGGTGCCATGCTGCACAGTTGTTCCTCTATTCTGCCTCAATTAGTGAGAGTCATTAAAAAGTTAATGAAGTGAAATGCACACTGCTAGAGTGGGTGATGGCAGGCACTCAGCCCTCTGCATGAAAGAGAAAACAACCCCTCCCCCATCCCACCAATGTTCTTTCTAACACCACGAGATGACATCATCTTGTGAGAATTAAAAACTTCTCTGGTATTACAAAACAACGGAATTTTATTTCAGCAGAACTAAAAAAATCATATCTTTATCTACATTGTAGTAAAAACATTTATGTTTTTCCTTCATATATTCATCAACACGTTGCAACCAAAGCAGGACACGGGCAAAAGGGGATGGCAGGAAGTGCGAGTACTGCCAGCAGAAGAATGCTGGCTGGGTCACCATCCCCAGCTCTGCCCTGGCTGAGGGAAGATACCCATCACAGAGCACTTCACGCATCAGGGAAGATGCGCCTAAACACAAGTTTTCTCCTCCTCCCAGTAAGTGTGGCAGCGGTCATTTGTGAGTGAGGGCTGCAGCCGGCGGCAGCAGGTAACCTGTTTCCAAAATGTGGCTGTCGAACATGAAAGATTACTATTTTGGGACACCTTTTACAAGAATGTTTATTCATATTAAAGCAGAAACCAACTCATAAATGCTTTTTATACACGTGTGCCTGGAAAAGACAGTACGGAACAACTCAAAAAGAGAAAAGGCTGTGAGAACAATCCTCACTGAAGTCTGCGGTAACTTTTACAGAGTTCGTGGTCCCTAATATCTCCCCAGCCTCCATTTTTCACGTGAGGGGAAAGGGGAGCCATGGAGTACCTTTTACTGACACTCATTGTTTCAGGAAACAGGTACTGTTGGTTGCTGTTCAAGAGAGAGTCGATTTTGGCACTCTGGGTGGATGGTCTGCAGGATTTCTTGTGGTGCATGCCACAATCCCCCGTGTGAAAAATCCTGGGGATCTCAGGAACCAGCACTTTCCAGAACTTTGGAAGACAAGAGACAGTCAAGTGCTGCAGAGTCCAGTCCCAGTTGTAGTCATCGTAGGTGCAGAAGGCATCTGTGCACTCGATGAGCTTCTGGTAGGTGTCTCTGCTGAAGGCCATGCCCATGTTGTGCTCGGTGGACTTCCATGTCTTCATCTCCACTTTGTCGGCTCGGCCGGCGAAGCCACCGCGGATAGGGCTGTAGGTGCCCAGGGAGACGATCTGGCACTCTGGGCACTCCCGCTCGCGCAGGGCCCAGAGCTTTTTGAGGACGTGGTAAAAATCGGGTGCTAGATAGTGGTCCTCTTCCAGGAAGAGGACTGGCCCAGTGTGCTCCCGCAGCGCCCGTACCCGCTCCCAGACGAAGTGCAGCTTCCACCACCAGTGGTGCTTGGTCTGGGAGAAGCGAGCTTCGCGGTAGTGCCCGAAGGAGTCAGGGTACTCGGCGTTGATGCAGCCCAGGCGCAGGGCTGCCGCCTTGCCCACGTCACGGGGGCAGTCGCGGGGGTCGTGGCCAGGGAACTCGCGGGGGTAGAGCTGGATGCTGAAGGGGAAGAATATCTGCAGGACAGGGCAGAAGTCCACGCGTGCCGCCAGCCGGTTCAGCTCTTCAGCCCACAGGTCGTGGCTCAGCACCAGCAGCACGTTCTCCACGCCCGCCGCCCGCCGCAGCGACTCCAGCAACAACCGCAGGTGCTCGGCTCGATCGTGCACCTGCACCACCAGCACCACGTCCGCCGCGGCGGCCCGCGCCGGGAAGCGCCCGGCGTTCCGCACCGGCTGGTCGAAGTTCAGCCGGTAAACGAGCGAGCGGTAACTCAGCGTCCCGTTCTCGGTGAGCAGCGGCAGTGCCAGCGATGCAGCCGAGACGTTAGCGGCGGGGCGGCGCGGCGGCGGCTCGCTGACCCGCGGCGGCTCCCCGGTGGTACCGGTACCGCCCCGCTGCTGCTGCCGCCTCCGCCCGCCGCCGGCGGTCCCCCACAGCGCCAGCGCGCACACCGTCAGCGCCAGCGCCAGCAGCAACACCTTGCGCTTGTAGATCCGCAGCCGCATCCTTCCCGGCGGCGGCGGCCGCCGCTCCCCGCCGCCCTCCCGCCGCCGCCGCCGCCGCCGCCGCCGCCGCTCCCGCAGGCAGCGCGCGCGCGCTGCCGCCACCCCACGCGCACACGTCGCCGCACGCCATAGGCCGCCGGCGTCGCCGCAGCTGCCGCTCTATTGGCCGCCAGCGCCGTCACTCGCGGCCGCTTCCGCCGGCGGGGGCCGCGCAGCTGCTGCCCGCCATGAGCGCGACCGGCGGGGCTGCGCTGTGATTGGCCAGCCGTAATTGGGGGTCAGTAATTAGGCAAAGCGTGTGGTGGCTGGAGGGCTGGGGGAACGGAGTCGGGGCTGTGGGAAGAAAATCCCCTTGTGTTTGCAGGAATGCGATCAAATAACTCTGGAATTGCAAGGGCAGGACAGGAAAATCCTGGATTTGCAAGAATAACGTAAGATAAAATAATTCCTGCTTTGCAAGGAAAATACGCAAGAAAATCGTTCTAGAAGCGCAAGAATAAGATGAGAAATGATTCCAGGATTGCACGAATAAGCGAAAGTCGCCTTAGAGTTGAATAATAAAGTAAGATCATTCTAGAATGGTGAGGATGAGACAAATTAAGTGTACAATTACAAGAACAGATATATTCCTGCTTTGCAAGAATAATACATGGGACGGAAATCTAGAATTGCAAGAACACCACACAATAATGCTACAGTTACAAGAATAACACATAATCATCCTGGAACTGCCAGAATGTATTGAGGACAACCAGTCTAGAATTTGAAAAACAATCTATAAGACAACAGTAATTCTAAAATTACAAGGACATCTGTACTAAAACAATTCCACAACTCCAAACAATGGCAAGACTTACTCCTGCCATTCTGTACGTTGTACCCTGGTCCCTCTCCTCCACAGGCACAGGCCAGTTCTGAAGGTTGGTGACCATTTCACACCACATGTCCCAGCGCGGGTGCTCCCTGAGGGTCACATACTTCCTTGCAGCACCAAACAGCTGTTGTCAGGAAGCTGCTGCCGCCTCCTCCTGTGCCCAGTGGCACCAAAACCTGCCCGTGTGGTGGTTGCTTATTTCTCAGTCTGGTTGAACATCAGCGCTTCTGTAATTTTAGGTATTTCTTGCCCCAAGAAGGCAGCCACCTCCTGCTCCTCAGGGCTGGATTTAACGTCTTGTACAGTTGTGGGTAAAACTCCAGCAACCGGAACACTGTCCCACTGGGATAACAGTTTCCCTATCACACAGGCAGCATATGGATAAACACATTTAACATCACAAAGCACTTGGATAATGCAGAGTGGCAGCAGAACTGCAAAAGCAGACCAATTAAAGAACGATTCAAGGTTTTAATTGCGTTTAAAAGCATCTCACATTAGACTGCGTCCTATGTGAGAGCTACCACTTGCTTCAGTCTGATGAGACTACGCTCTGCAGTACTCAACACTGACATGTCCAAGGCAAAAAACAAACTTCATGGGCATAAGAGAAGGGCCTGGAGCAACGCTCCTGTTTAGCACACATTTTTAATGATGGTTTCACAGCTTGATCTTTGCTGACCACAGGTGAGCTCTGCGTAACTCGCCAAGTTTCTCCTCCTGACCCAGCACAACTGGTGGTTTTCAAGTAAGACATTGAGAGCTCCTTGAAAGAGAGGGACTGGGCTCTGCATCAAAGCTGGTTTGATTCCGTCAGGTCACTTTGCTGCAAACAGGAAACACCATGTAAACGGTTCGACAGAGCTCCCCACAAGTATGATAAATGAGGTAGAACAGTTTCGTAGAACAAATCTGCACAGACCCACTTGCTCTGTAAGAAGCCCTAAACACAGCACTGGGGCATGCACACACCTGTTTGTGGTATCAGAGGACAGAAATGTGCCTGTCTCTTGTCATCTACAACGGAACCCATGCCTGCAGGTTGGCCTTTTCCCAGTGCACCAATGAGAAGCGAGCTGAAGAAGTTCTGAGACCCCACAGCTATCTTGCTGTCGGGCAGGGCAAACTGCTGGAGAAGATGCTCCTGGAGGGAGTGATTTCTGCTTTGGCTTTTCCTAACTCTTGGCTCCTTCGCCACCTCCTAGCCAGCTGACAGCTGGCAGAGCGCAGGCATGGAGTGCTGCAGCAGCCCCCCCCCGGCTGCTCATATCCTCTGCAGCCAGCAAGCCACAAACCCCAACTCACTCACCTGGCACCTCACTGCCTCTGGGGTGAAGCTGTGGAGTTCACCCGACTGAGACAAACGCTTTGCACCCCGCAGAGAGCCTGTTCACGGGGATTGCGAGACACTGAGAACATGAAGTTGGTTGGAACCAAGGGAACCTGGGGTATTTGTAGAGCCCTCTGCTTGGCTGCACAAGACTTCCCTTTTCTTCACCTTTTGATGGAAAGCGGGAAAGCAGCAGTTTAGAAAGCTCTGCTTTTGACTCTGGCAAATGGTGGAGGAGCCAATGGTGGAGATGGCTGGATCACAGTGTGCTGGGGATGTGGCCACGTTGCCAGAAGGTGCTTTGGTACCAGCACAACCACGGCTGCGTAAGAACCTTTGCAGAACAGGGCTCCAGTGCACCACCACCCTCTCAGTGCGTCTGCCACTGTAGTTTCAGAGGACTAAGAGAAGCCAAGCCAGTTTTGGGGGTGACTGGCTTCAGAGACAGTGGCAGCCAGCATACTGATGTGAGACTTAAACCATCAGTGCAGCAAACTATTCCCATCCAAAAGCCCTTTCCCACAGTTCAGTTTCCTTTTCACCCCAAGGGAGGTTGCACTCCACACTGGCCTTGAACCCCCCCACTGCGTTCTCCTCCCAGCACTGAGGGACTTGGACGGGGCTTGGCAGCCTTCCCCTTGCCTGCCTTGAGCTGTGAAGTGTGGATTCCTCCTCTGCCCAGCTCAGCTGGCTGCCTGGGGAGCCACTCGACCATCAATATCCACATATCTGCAGCTGCCATTCCTGAGGAGTCCCAGAGGAGACCAAATTTCTGTGTCTACTCCACTTCCCTCCTCTTAATCATGCACCCCACCTAAAAGGTATTTTTCCAAATGAGTAATCTTTAGGCTGCTGCAATCAGGACGAGATCTCTCTCCCTTTACAACAGCATTAGCATATGACTAAAGCCTCCTATGGGTAGCTCTGCAGTGCTTTCAAGAGCAGTGTTTGGCCTCCTCCTTCACAAGTTCTCTGTGGTTGAGGAGCAATATATAAGGAATGATTCATCTGTATCATCCCATAGTTGCTTAAAAGTTGCCATTTCACAAATACTGTATAAAAAGAACACAGTCAAGTTGTTTTGACATTTGCAGACAGCTTTAACGACACTCAATATTTCTAGAATAAAGGTTGCTTTTCCTCAGGAAAACACGTCTCTTGGCCTAGTCAGAGCAGATCCCTTCAGTAAGCGTGCTCCAGTGTTTATTTCTGTTGTGAATCATAGAATAGTTAGGGTTGGAAATGACCTTAAGATCATCTAGTTCCAACTCCCCTGCCATGGGCAGGGACACCACGCAATAAACCATATCACCCAAGACTCCGTCCAACCTGGCCTTGAACACTGCCAGGGATGGAGCATTCACAGCTTCTTTGGGCAACCTGTGCCAGTGTCTCACCACCCTCAGTAAAGAACTTCTTCCTTATATCTAACCTAAACCTTCCCTGTTTAAGTTTGAACCTGTAACCCCTTGTCCTTCTTAGATGAGGAGAGTTTGAAACTGATGACATTTAGAACATGGATGGAGGTTGTACTCACACAGGAGATGTTAAATGATGCCTGCAAGCCAGCACTTTCTTCCAGAGCCTGCTGCTGCCCTTCAGGCGGCTCCTCACACTGTACATGGCATTTAGCCGTGCCTTGAAGCCAAGTCTAGATCAGTTCTGCAATGAGTAACAACAGGTGTCTTGTTTTCCCATGGAAACTACAAATAATTCCCACAGCAGTGTACTTACCTATGACCCTGAGGGATGCAAATGTAATTCACTCCTGGGCAGTCGATACTGCCTCGAAAATAAACAGTGTGACGTGCTCCCTCCAAGCCATTGTGTGTTACAGGCATGTGATGCCTAAAGATATTTCAAGGGAGTTCTGTTCCATGCTGTGTCAATATACAAGCCACGGAGCACTGACAAGACATGAAATAAGGGTATGTGGATACTCTCATGTCTTTCGGTATCTTCACCAAGAGAAAGGCCAGCAGCTAATCCGTAGAATACACTGAATGAAAAACTCATTAGAGAAACCACAATTCATGTGTACATAGAAGGGTTGCAAAATTTAATAAGTTGACTCAGTGAACAATTCAACAATCTTTAAAACATAAGAGTTAAGAAAAAAAGTTTAGGTGACACATTTAGAAAAAGACATTTCTTGTATTACAAAGAGATAAAATGAAAACCATTTGCTCTGGTAAAAAACAGCGATGCTGGTCCCTGCTTGAAGTGAAAATGCAGTAACGGAACTCTTAGAAAAGAAGCACCCTGAATTACATGACCAGTTTTGAACTGCTCACACCATAATCTCTTCTCATAGCAGCCTACCAAGTTGCTCTACAGTAAACAAGTTGGGAAAGGTACAGTCCAGTGATAAAGTCATCTTATGTCAGCAGAATTCAGAGCCTTGAGTGTAAGTAAAGCAATCTGATACAAGCTCACCTTCCTTCTAGCAACAAGAAACCACTTAATTCACGAAACAAAGAAAACTGTCATTCATGATACTCCAAACAAAGTCACAATAATAGGAAACAAGAAAAAAAAAAAAAAGGCAAAATACATTCTAAGGAAGGTTCATTCAGGCTAAGCACCACTTTTTATTCCAACCAAAGGGAGATTCTAGTAGTGGAGGTACAGTTGGGCCACCAGCCCAGACAGACAGTGCCCCCTTGCTGCAGGGCTGACATCTGCTGTTGGCAGCAAATATCCTATGACAGCACGTGTGGGTAACAAGCAGATAAGAGTTTCAGGCTCCTCTGTCACTGGACAGAACGCCAGGCAGAGCTTTTGTGCCCAATAATGGTCACCCGTTGCTCTGGAGGTACCTATCCAGGAACTGGGAATAGCAGTTTAGAGAACAGAAGTAGCAGA